AGTAAGAGTTTAATTCATTCTTGTAGAAAAGCCCAACGTTTTAACAACCATACATTTAAGAACCAGGTTAATATTTCCCCCATCGAACTCTAGATCTTCCAACAACTTACTTTCCATTACATTTTCTTACAAAATCCTTAATCTCTAATTTCTTCCGTCCAAGCTACATGCCCAGTCAATCATAACGTATAAAAACTAGAGAACCCATAATATCCTTCAATTTTCTCATGTTTTAACTCTTCTTGGAGCCATATATTTTCCTGAACACGATGCTTTCAAATACTTGTAATTAATTCTGTTCCCTTGAAGCAGAAGCCACGTGTTAAAGCCACACAAAACAGTTGGTGAAGTTATGGGTTTATATTTCCCAATTGTTTTCCTTTTCGAATATATGTGTGATTAAGAACACTTTAACTATGTGTTTATGATTTATTAAAAATTTCAGGAAATCAACGCCGATCACAGTGGCCGCCCGGTCAAAGGCATGAACTGTCTTTGCCTGTTCAAACACTGGGGTCGTGGTTTCGATTCCCACTCGAGGCATGTATGTTTGTCTACGTTTATTCCCTGTTTGTGTTTGCCTGTGCAGGTATCGGCCTTGCGACAGGCTGATCCACCGTCCAAGGGGTCCAAGTGTAACCGTCCAGCCCTTACGTTGGGCTCCACATTTTCTCTCCATAACCGTTCTTACCTCACCTTCACTCTCCCCCTCCCTTGTTGGTTGGTTAGTCACGAGTTGTTCGTCGCTCCTCTCCTTTTTTCTTCTTCTTCTTCTTAGGTTGGGCGCCAGTAAGCTCAGGTGGTGTCGGCTTACAGTAGTCGGAGGTTTATTCTGGAAAGGGGGTAAAGGTGATAGTCAACTAGTTCAGCTGTGGGTAGAGCTTGGATCCTTCTCAGGGCGTTTGCTAGGGCCTCGCTTAGGACGGGGAGGGAAGTAGTTGGTTCAATGCTAATTTAGACTTAAACACTGTGACCATTTATTGAGATCAGCACTTCCCTTCACCTGATGGCACACACACGCGCACACACAGTCAATACAAAGGATGCTTATATATAGGTCCTTGTCTAGCACAGTACTAGTATAACGGACGTTATTATTACAATTTACACTTTCTTTAGCATTCTGAATTTATACCGAACAGCGAAAAACACAGATTCTGTTTCTAAATTATTTACGAGTAGCAGGCACTTGGCGACTGTTTGGCAACTGTTTGTCAACTAACTTTTGACTCTTTGTCTGAAAACACTGAGGTCCCCTGGTCATCAGTTCCTCTGCTAAGTCACGCCCCCTTAATTCCACTGATTGGGTAATTTTGAGAACTGGGGTTTACACAATTTCTGGATCTCCAGTCAGCTGGCTGCAATTTGGGCCTTTGAACCTTAAAGTCCTAACGTCGTTTTTGACAGTACACTGACAGATAACCTGCTTGGCGTGGGCTTCAAAACCGCCTACTTTTAAGTTACGACATGCAGGACCTGTCAGTGATCGAAATCTCAAAGTTTGCCGCCGTGCTACTCACAAACAAAATTTCTCAGAAAAAGCCACAGGGGGCTTTGGAATAAGTCCATTCCTGAAAACAAGAATGTGACTATGTCCTACTGGCTTTGGTATTACTTGTTACCTCCACTTAATTTTTTGTTACTGATTATTGTAATTATACTTAAATTAGTGGGTGACAGTGGAGCGGTTACACAAGGGGTCCTACGGACTGTGTAACTGTTGAGAAACTAAACTGAAACGACGCCTTTTACGAATGCCCTATGTTTCAGAGTGTACAACATAATATGAATGAATTAATGATGAAATTAACAACTGAACTATCTATTTTAAGTAAGATTTGAGGGTTTCACGGCGGTGACTATGAAGAATGTTGTCTTCTTGGATGTGGCGCCGTGTAGATCTTGTGTAAACTGACATTTTGGAGGAACCTATCACCTCAGTAGAAAAAATCCGCGAGCGAGGAACCGGTCTGTAGCCACCTACTCACGCTGGTTCCTCTATCCTGAAGATGTAGACAATACGTTCCTCCGAAACGTCTGCTCACATAAGAGCTACATGACTCCACATCCCAGAAAGCGGCATTCTTAATTATCTATTTTCATATTTTCTTCTAAGTCTCCCTATTGCCCTTTCTTCCATGACGAATTTGAACCACAATTGTGTATACATTCATTTACTTTTCATGAGTGCTACGTGCTCCCTATTTAACTGCGTCGTTCTAACAACGCCAGCTCTGATAAGCTGGTATAGCCCTGTCAGTAACATGACTGGCCATGGGAATAGAAACCCGGGGTTCGATCACCAGCAGAACAAGCATTTTCTCTTTGAATTCACCTCCATATGTCTGTCGGATGTGGTGGCACAAAATTAGTATTGTAAGGTCCTTTCTTACAGGGGCTTGTCACTCCCCTTCATGTACTTCGAGAATGACCTCCACGCCACCATACACGTCCAGAGGGTACAACTTACGACGCGGAAGTTTATTTATCGTTATTTTCATTTTTAACCTTCAGCTCGAGAACTTAATTAAAGAATCGTCAAATGATAACTTCTGTCATTATCTTATTCATTTATCTCTCCCGCGTCGAAAATTCCCTCGCTTTTTATGTTTCCAAACACCTGTGCTCTTCACTGGGCGCGAGAAACTAGATTGTGTAACCGAGCAGTGATTGGACGGTGCTATCATTCTATATTTATTTAATTTTAAAATTCGAAGCAAACGAGGTTTCGCCAAAAATTTAGAGGAGAGTTTATGCGTAATATTATTTAATTCGATCTTGGAATGTTGTATGTGAAATATTTAACACGAACCCTTACTCTGTGTAGGTACTAACGATAGGAGTGACATCTTGAACCCCCCCCCCTTATTATGACGTGTCCTTCGCACAGGTCAGAGAGCTGTTGCGTGTGAGGGAGGTAAGATGTGATAAGCGTGTGCTCCAATTCTGCAGCTTCGCGCGCATATTTTGTGCAGCTAGGACAGCGTGAATTCCCGTGAGTTGTGTTAATTACATGATTTGCAAGTATTTGTGGCTTTGTATTAATTGAGTTGAGCTAAATGCATTATAAAATCATTCAGAAAACACTTTGCATTAGTTGGTGAAACAGTAAGTCTTCGTACGTACTTTACGAAGTAGGCTGTTTCTAATAGTAGGAAAGTGATAATTACATATTCTGCAAGATTTTCCTACATTTTTGCTGGTTGGGCATTTATGTGAATCTTGACTATAAACAGGGCTTGAGGTGGGGCGGGATGCGGCGGGATGGTATCCCGGTTCTTTTGTAAATGGCTTAAAAGCATCCCGTTACTTCTTTGGCAGTAAATGCCTATGAATTAAAAAGGGAAAACCATCCCGGTTCTATTTTCATTCCACCTCAAGCACTGACTATAAATATAGAATATGCTACAGCATCCAGTGCTCACCATTATCATCATCTGGAAAGCAGTGCGTGTTGACAGGCATGCCTGCATTATGACACTGCAACAAACTGGTTAAAATAATTTTGTCACCAGGGTCAGGGAGAGCCACAGTACAGTGAAGACTCTATCTAATCTGACTTAGCTNTGTTAAATTGGCGGCAATACAAATGTATCGAAACCAATGACAAAATATATATAAAGATGGCTACATCCGGCCGCAGGAAAGTCACTAGTTTAACTAAATTTTTCGTAAATATTATAATACAGTATTTCTAACCTGCAGGAAGCAAACTTATATATGAAATTCTGGTGTTAAAATCTAGAAAATAAATTACTATGGACTTTAAAAAAAATATCGCAATTATTAATTCATTATATTAAGTTTGTAATTTAGGTTTATTCTATAAAGCAAAGCGAGTAAATAGCGGTGACGTAACACGGGACGCCGCAGTTGCTACGTAGCGGTAAACAACTACCAACAGCGTTGCTAGGATATCGGCAAACAGGCAACCAGGCAACAAGGAAGCGAGGCATTTTCCCGTTGTCCGGCCGAGGGTTTATAAGACACCTACACTGCCTATGAAGTCAGTTCTCAAGACAGCAGCCTACGAGTTGAGTTGGAATCTAGCCAGCGGAGAGTAACGAGTTGGTGTGTGATACAGTGACACTTATATAGTGGTCAGAAACTCAACACGTTACATTTGGTTCGTCTGTGCATACTGTGCAACTGTAATAGATATTATAGAACAGTTCAAGAAGTGGTTGTCTCTTCATATAATGTCATCCCACAGACTTTTCGGAATTTTTGGAGAAGATGTCCCATCTACAGAGGAGGAGGAGCTGTTTATTCGCAAACTGCGACAGTGCTGTGTGGTATTTGACTTCATGGACCCAGTGGCTGACCTGAAGGGAAAGGAAATAAAACGAGCTACCCTGAATGAGCTGGTGGACTACATTACAGCAGGCCGGGGTGTACTTACTGAGCCTGTTTACCCTGAGATCATCAGAATGATCTCAGCAAATCTGTTCCGGACCTTGCCGCCCAGTGATTTTGATCCAGAAGAAGATGACCCAACATTAGAAGCGTCATGGCCACACTTGCAGTTAGTGTATGAGTTTTTCCTACGGCTCTTGGAATCCTCTGACTTTCAGCCCACCATTGGCAAGAAAGTAATAGACCAAAAATTTGTGCTACAGTTATTAAACTTATTTGACAGTGAAGACCCTCGGGAGCGTGATTTCCTTAAGACTGTTCTGCATCGCATCTATGGAAAATTCCCGGGGCTACGTGCTTTCATATGCAAACAAATAAATAACATCCTCCTTATGTTTGTATATGAGACAGAGCATTTTAATGGCGTTGGAGAGTTATTGGAAATATTAGGAAATATTATCAACGTCTTTGCTCTACCGCTGAAGTCAGAACACAAGCAATTCCTCGTAAAGGTTCTGCTGCCACTGCACAAAGTTAAATGTCTGTCATTGTACCATGCAGAGTTGACATACTGTGTGGTTCAGTTCCTTGAGAAGGATGCCACGCTAACTGAAACGGTTGTTAAAGGGCTACTCAAGTTCTGGCCTAAAACGTGCAGTCAGAAAGAGGTGATGTTCCTTGGTGAAATTGGAGGAATTTTAGATGAAATTGAACCATCACAGTTTGCCAAAATTCAGGAACCGTTGTTCAGACAAATTTCAAGATGTGTCTCTAGTCCTCACTTTCAGGTGGCTAAACGTGCACTGTACTTATGGAATAATGAGTACATAATGAGCCTGACTGAGGAAAACAACCATGTGATCATGCCAATAATGTTCCCAGCTCTGTACCGCATCAGCAAAGAGCACTGGAACCAAACAATTGTGGCTCTTGTAAACAACGTGCTCAAAACCTTCATGGAGATGAACAGTAAGCTTTTTGATGAGCTCACAGCTTCTTACAAGGCTGAGAGACAAAATGTGTGACTAGCAGTGTACTGTGAGGGCAGAGAGAAGAAAGTTCTTGCGTGCAGAGTGGGCAGTGTGCGCCGACAGAAGATAGTGGTTGAACTGGACAGAGAGACGGACAGTTCTACATTCAGATAGTAATAAGGTGACGTCGGAAGGATATCCCCTCGAGGTCTTATTCATGACATTTTTGGTGCCGAAACCCAGGAAGTGGGATACATATGATACAACTCGACATGGCGGACGCCGAACTCGGAAGACTAACGAGGAAGCGCCCCACAGCAAGGGCAAAAGTGACAAAGTTCAGTACCTCTATAAGGAAATCCACTGCCAGCACCCCACTTGAGGATTATGAGTACTACCGAGACCGTTTACAGGAGACCCTGGATCAACTACTTTCATTGGACAGTGATATCCGGGATCTTCTAGAGGACAAGGAGTACACAACTGATGTGGAGGTGGCTGAAGAGTACATCGACTTAGCCAAGTGAGCACTGCTGAAGGCCAAGCGGGAGGTAGAGAACCGACTCGTCTCCACAGGAGAGAAGCCTAACTTTGATCATTCTGTTGTATTTACAATTCCCCAGCTTTTATCATATTTTACATAGCAGTTTTTCACTTAGCATTCTATGCTATTTATATTTCCACTACAGACCATTTTTGCTTGCATTAATGTATACCTTTCACATGATGACCACGAGATGGTTGAAACATGTAGTGAATAAGAAATAATTAAATGTTCTCTTTGTAATTACGAATTTGTGATCAGACCGTTTATTTATAACTTCTTTCCTTGGATGCTTAATCTTAATAACTGTATGCAGATACTGTACTGTTTCTGTAGTCTGGATACTAATCTAACAGTTAATCTAGCAGCATAATCATGGTTAGAGTC